TTAGAGGTTATTATTGCAAAAAGCGTCTAATATATGCTACATATATCCAATAATATATTAACCTTAAAAAATCCTAATTTTTATATTACCTATCTAATTTTTAAAATAGGATTTTTGGTATTGAAAATATGGTTTAAACTAATCACATGTTCTGAAAACATTGTCTTAAACTGATTTTCATTTTTTGAATTGCAAATATGTTGGTTCATTCTCTTGTAAATATTAAAATTAAAACTCACTTAAAAATCTTGTAAATATTTACAAGAGAATGAACCAACACATTTGCAATTCAAAAAATAAAAATCAGTTTAAGACAATGATTTCAGAACATATTTTTTCCCATCTTTTACATCTCAAACAAAAAAATTACCTATATAATTTTTACTTCGACATTTCTACATAAAAATATGTATTTTTTTATCAATTTCTAACCATCTTGTTCTTTCTATTTCAGTTCCCCCAATGTTGTGGATACCCCACCAGCTGGTAGGGGCGCCTCTGGCTTATAGTGTGACCCTGGAATGTTTTACAGAGGCGCATCCGACGTCCCTGAATTATTGGACCAGAGAAGACGGTCATATGATACACGAGTCGAGGAAATACAAGTAAATATAAAATGATAATAATTTTTTTTCAAAAAAATGTTTTCAACACATTCACTGCTAAACCATTTATAGGCATGAAATAATGTTAGCTGGAAATTAAAATAGAGCATAAATCGGACTATTTCTGTTTGAAAGGATTACAGTACAAATTTTCAATTTATATATATATTATTTTACTAAAAATTTAATAGTGTTGAATACAGCAAAAATATAAAATCAACAAAAATTAAAATCTTTAGATAAATTGACTAATGCTAAAAAATCTAGTTAAAAATGATTTTGAAAAATATTTTCAAATATATATATTTAACTTGTTCAAAAAATTAATAAATATCTACTGAAGAAAAATATATTTATAAAAGTAAAATATAAAACAATGTAAAAATAATTATATTAATGCTAAATTATATAATTATCTAAAATTAATATATGTAAAGTAAATATATTGAAATATTTTATATGTTTTTTCACACCAAGAAAAGTGACAATACAAGTAAATAAAATTGATAATATTTGAAATATTAAATTTAAAAATATTTTAAATATTTAAAATCTTCAGAAAATTGAAAGAAATTTTTTTTAATAAATGTTTATAAGACTTAGTACAATTCAAAAATGTTCAGACAAATTGAGTAATGCTGAGAAAAACAGTTGAAAATAAATGTTTTTACGTTATAAAAAATATTTAAAAATATATATTTTAAACGTTCATAAAATTTATAAAATAGCTACTGAGTAGAAATGTTTTTATGAAAGTAAAATGTAAAAGAATGTAAAAATAATTATAACAATGCTAAATTAATTAATTATGGAAAATTAATATATGTAAATATATTGAAATATTATTTTATATTTTTCTACACTCCAAGAAAAGTTACAATTTATATATGAATAAATCAGTCACGTGATACTCTGTTTAATCAGTTGTACTAAAAAGTAATTTTTAAAGAAAAACGAGTTGTTTTAGAGACTTATGAATCATTGTTTTAGAATTATGAATCATTTAATTTTAAACAAATTTGCCAAATATTTTACATATTTTACTGTCACGGTTAAAAAGTTACAAGAGATAAAATAAATAAAAACATGAAGTATTCCTTGCGTTTGATTTGATTTATCATGTCGAGATGCTGTATATGTAATTTTTTATATGTGTTTTTTATTTTCAGGGCCGAATCGACCTTAGGGTCTCCTTCGTATAAGATGCACATGAAATTGACAATTATGAATATCCAACATTCTGATTATGGTACTTACAAATGTGTTGCCAAAAATCCGAGAGGAGAAACCGATGGGACGATACGTCTATACAGTAAGTTAATAAAAATTTATATATGTAAGAGGTATATTTTTTGTACATAATGTAATTTATATTTGACATTGGGTAAATAATGTAACTTGTATTTAAGAAAATCCCTTATAATTAAAAATAGGACAATGGTTGTGTTTGCCTTCCATGGGCCAAACGAAAACATATGGAATATTTTTTAAAAAATAACAAATAAACCAATTTCTCATATTTAGGCAATAACTGGGAAATTTTGTGAACTTAGTTTGATAGCTGTTTGTTTCATTTATGTTATGTACCGTAAATTATATTGTTTGGTTTTTTAAGCATAATTTCTGCTAATATGCTTATAAGCTTATTTTATATATTGAGATGCTGAATGGGATATTTCACTCGTTGATGCATCTAGTACAGCACAACAATCAATCGCAAAAGTTACGTGCGCTATTTTCCATCTTGATAACAATATGTAACATAATCGCATTTTTTATTTAGATTCGGTACAGCTAGTATATATGTATATATTTATCTATATGTGTGTGTGTATTCCTATGTGTCTGTATCCCTCGTTACCTCTTTTAGCAAAACTTTTCCGCAAAACTTTCAACATAACCGATGATAGCCGAAAGCAAAACTCCTCAGTTTAACCTCTTTTTCTTCAGCACAAGATTGTATTAATAATTCGTCGAGAAGAGTTTTACCCAATTACTAACAGCCCCTGAACCGCCCCTGCAAAACCAACCCACTGACCCCTCTCCCCCACAGACACAGATATAAATAAATTCGCAGCGAATCGTTCCTTTTATATATTTAACCGAAAAGATATGAATGAAAAGTTAAGTTGAAATTTTCCAAAGTTTTAATATTACTTTGGGCTGTTTTAGGAGGACAGACGGACGGACGGACGGACGAATGTTGGAAATGTTGGGAATGGATCGAGTTTTATGATTTAATTGGCGTGTAATTGTTTGAACGCTAATTGCTTTTGTTTTGCATAAGGAAAAAGTTGGGATAATGGGGGTTATAGGTATTAAGAAGCACTTTTTATATGTTTCCAGAAATAAATCCGATTTTTAATGAAAATAATAGTGAAAATATTTGTTGGTATTAGTTATTACTAGTACTAGTACTTATTAACTTTTTTTGAACTTTCCAACAGAGAAGTTTGTTTTTGCTTGCTAGTTTTATGTTTTCTTGACGTTTCAAGTCATTCTGAACTTAACGAAGCCAAATTTAAAAGATAGTATGTGTGCGATTTTTTGCGTTACGTAAACTTTTTTTTTAAACAGATATGCGTAAATAATCAATTTAATCAATAAAAATAAATGTATTTATGAGTGTTTAAAAGTATTCCGAGTGGATTCATTACACATAATTGAAAACGAACGAACACTCTATCGTTTTGACAAACGCCAAAAAAACGACACTAATTTTTGACAAACGCTAACAAAGCCGACACTAGGACCGTAATATTCTAGTATGATCTATAAGACTATGGTATCTACCGTTAAAAAAATTCTTGTAAATCGCCGAAAAAAAATTTTTAACACCTTATTACAAGAAAACGGCCCGGCCGATCTTTACCAAAAACTAATCAGCACGATTCCCAACCAATATCTATCGAATGGTTTTTGAATTTTCATAATCGATTCAGAATTCGGGCTAAAACGTGGACGAAAAATTTTTCACTTTTCTGCAATTTACAAAGAAACTGCCCGGCCGATCGCCGCACAAAACTCAGAAACGATAGTCCTCATCGAGATACATCGAATGGCTTTTAAATTTTTGAAATCGGTCCAGCCGTTTTCGAGAAAACGTCGATTTACGGCAAAAAATCTGTTCACATACACGCACACACACATACTTTTTTCAAATTTGGGCTCATTCAATTCAGAATGGCTTGAAACGTCGAGAAAACATAAAATTAGCGAATCGGATTTTTGATGACTTCTGCTTCGGGAAGTTAAAAAAATGTGTGAGCATATGAGTATGTTAGTCAATGTTTTACCTTTCGTCAACGTTTTTCTGAAAACACCTGAACCGATTCCAAAAATTCAAAAGCGATTTAATGTAAATCTTTAAGCACTGTCATTTATCAGTTTAGTGTCACCATCGGCCAAGCCATTTCTTTGTAGCAGAAAAGTATTAAAAGTTTTTGAGTAAGAAGGGCCAGTCAGCAGTGTTAAATTTTTTCAGTTAACGCAATTCATCCATTTGATTCCTATTTTTTATCTCAAAATCTCATTCCGCCATTTGGCCAATTTCTCCAAAAGCAATTACTAAGAATTGATATATCGCCAAAGTTGGAGGAGTTCTCCGCCAAAAGTCTCCTCCTTCGGCGGTGTCATCTAGATTTTCTTATTAACGCTTACAACCGACTTCAACTTGAGGTTTTAATAGTAATAATCGTAATAATAATCATATCGTAGAATCGCGAAAACCGGGGAATGGGAATTGTTGAAGTTTCCTGGGAAATTCGGAAATCCGGAAGGAGGAATGAGGATGTAAAGTTAAGGAAGATGTCAGAGTTTAAAGATTTTTGGACTCGAACATGGCTCAATTACGAGACATTATATATGTTTTTTATTAATTACTACGTTAAACTAGTGGTATATTTTAATCCAAAAAATGTTTAATCCAAAAAATTAAATTACAAAAATATTTTATGGAAAATAAAAAAAAGTTGTTATAATTTTTTATCCTCAAAAGCAATGTTTTGTCAGTACAAGCAGAAAGTTTTTTAGATCTTTGCCCCGTATCTCCGTAACGGCTGGACCTGCCTTTGCCAAAAACTAATCAGCGCATCTTCCTATCAATAGGGATCGAATGTTTTTTAAACCATTCAAATAGGTTGATCCGTGCGCCCGAAAACGTGGACACACACACACACTCACATCCATTAGTTTTCTGAGGTATGCCAGTAAAATGTTCAGAAACCTTCAAAACGTCGAGAAATGTAAAAATTTTCATTTTCGATTTTCGGCCCATTACTATAACTACCCTACGGGAAGTTAATAATTATTATGATAATTTTATATTACAACAGTCCTTGTGCATTTTAAATTTTTTGAATTAAAAATTTATTCTAATCTGCTTGCTCATTTTTTTCCTCAACGTTTCAAGTCACACTGATATTAATAGACCTTAAATTATCTATAATATTTGTCATACGTATTTATTTTTTAATTTTGATATTAAACAATTAAGAAAACTTGAAATTTCGAGAAAATATAAATGTGATATTAATAATATAATAAATCATTTTGCATCATTGTGAGACAATTTTCTTATTCTGAATTTTAGTATAGGAACGTTTTTACTGCCTTTCACATCGCGTTGCACAATTTAGTATTTTATTAAAAAAAATATAACAATAATAATATTATTAAAAATTAGGCGTCAAAATGTTAAATTGTGAAGACAGTGTTTATAGCCAAAAATGCTATTTAAGGGTGTTTTCACATCGCGTTACACTATTCAGGTATGTTAAAAATATAAATTTGAGTATTTTCTTTAGAGTGTTAAATTCAAATTAATTAACTTCCCTTAGGGTAAGTTATAGTAATTGCAAAAAAATCGAATATGAAATTTTTTATATAGCTTTACGTTACAGAGGTTTTTGAACATTTTGGCATACCGTAGAAAAAATGGATGTATGTGATCGACTCCAAATCAGCTATGCAGCGCGATTGCTTTAAAAAAAAAAATTAAAAAAAAAATCAAAATACAAAAACAATTGAATTTTTCAAATATTCAAAAATCTAATTTTTTCAAAGTTTTGTAAAGTTTTTATAATTAATTAGGTTTTTGGTGCGGGAATTTGCCTTTTAAGGCACGATGCCATGCAACACTACTTTACTCCTGAAAAGCTCCTGAAATTAATTCATAATAAATTACTATGTTAAACAATTTTTCGTCAATTTTTTTCCGTCCTCCACATGCCATAAATATGAAACAAAAACGACTGGTGGCAGCGACGACACCTCGCAAAATTACCGGGCAAACTCCGGAGTTTGTGTACTTCCGGAGTTAATTAAATTTCTTTGTTTACATTCGACGGGGGAAGTGGCTGTGGCGACGCCGAGTGTTCATATCGGCGGTGACATCTAAAACCGCCAAATGGCGGGTTAAATCGGCTCTCCATATAATATACATACATACATACACACAGGGGGTTGTTGGAATAAACGTAACAGGACGGAGTAAGGGTTCTATTGTGTTTTCTTTATAATTATAACGCGAATGGTACAATTATAATTAAGGCAGTGGTAACGAGGTGATGGAATTTGGGGGTAAGAATATTGTTTTTTAAAAATTGCACTGCGACGCGAAAGAGCAAATTTTGGGTTTGCAAATTAGTCCATAATACTTAAAAATAATTCCAATCATCGCCCTGATAGTTTCGACGATTTTGATGAAACTTTGTATAACGATGGATTTTGTAGTCTGAAATATCATACTAAAATATTATAGGCCTACGATAAGCGGTTGAATTATAAAAATTAATCAAAGTTTAGAGTTTTGCCTCGCGTTTGAGAGATTCTAATTAGAATCTATGTTAGTATTGCAGTCGACGATTAAATAAAATACATTTTAGAACCCAAAATAACTGCAATACAATGTGTTGAACAAATTAATTCAGTGTATACAATTACAGATATTATAAGTATGTTTGAATGACACCAATTTGAATTCGTGTTGAATATTTTTTAATGAAAGTGAAAATGATATTTTTAACTTTCCGTAGGGTAGTTATAGTAATGGGCCAAAAATGAAAAATGAAAATTTTTGCATTTCTTAACGTTTTGACGGTTTCTGAACATTTTACTGGCATACCTCAGAAAACTAACAGATGTGTGTGTGTGTGTGTGCGGATACAAATTTTTCTGTCGACGTTTTCGGGCGCACGGATCAACCGATTTGAATGGTTAAAAAAACATTCGATTTCTGTTGATAGGAAGATGTGCTGAATAGTTTTTGGCAAAGGCAGGTTCAGCCGTTACGGAGATACGGAGCAAAGAGTG